TTTATTTGTACTAACGTTTCAATCCAAACATGTGGCCCATCTTCAGGACTGAAAATTTTAAAATACAATCAGAGATATAATATCATACGACCGATAATGGTAAATAATAAACTGTAGTGATTGACGGTATGAATCTTAACTAATATTACAATACACATATTAAAAATGAAATATGTAAATAATTATACAAACTAAAAATAATGTATAGAATCCATTTATACAAATTTGTAATATTTTCTCTCACTAACCGTAGTTTGAGCACTGAGGGTGTTCAAGTACTGAGACATTTGGTAGGTAAGTGAAAAGGTCAGGGGAGGGATTTCCCAGTTGTCCTTTTTCAGATAACAAAAGGTAGGTAAACATAGTCAGAGGGGGAGGAAGATAACATTTCTGTTTGTAGAATGTAAATAATTTGCTGTAAATATTTCAGATGTGTACAATATTTGTGTTCTCAAGTTTATTTATCATCAGCCAATTTTACACCAATTTTTAAATATTGTCAACTTAATGATTACACATCACAATTATGACGTTTCGGCTCGTCAAGGCATTTTCAAGTCTAAAAAATTTTTCAATTTACAATCATATATTAACATTACATATTTCAAAATATAAAGATTCTTTTTATATACCTAAAATACCCATCATGTACCTGTCCTTTTCACTTATGCGAATCGCATGCGTCTACTTATAATAAAATTTTTTATTCGTATCATGTCCACCTTTAATTATTTTACAACATTATTATTACTCAATTCTTTCATATTAAATGATTCAAATAAGTTAAAATTATCCTGTTCGTGTGTCACCCACATGTCATCCGTCTCATTTTTATTCAGTGACTGGTTATTCTTATAGGAGTAGGGGAAGACTATTTATTATAAACATATACAATGATGTTTCCCAATATTATATGTGGACCTATTTTAAGTAATATTAGCTAATTTATTTCAAATTTTGATTTTTTTCAATTGAACTCGCGTAAAATGTATTCATATTATCCACGTCTGTATGATTATTTACCAAGTTTTTAGTTCTGTATATTGCTTCCTTTATTCTACGTTTATTCATATTTCTTTCATTATGTAGGATTTTGGCATTTTTGAAATCAAATTCATGTTTTGTTTGCATAGTATGTTGAGAGAGTTTAGTAGCTAATTTAATTTTTGTGTTTTTTGAATTACAATTTTGTTTAAGCCTTTTTTCAAACCATTGTGATGTCTGTCCAAAATATGATTTGTGTTGCAATTTTTACAATTTATTTTATAAATAATATTCGTTAATTTATCGGTAGGTACTTTATCTTTAGTTTTCGAATAAATTGTTTTTATTTTATCCGTTAAATTTCTAGTATATGAGACACTAAAATATTTTTTAGGTTGTTGTTTGTTTTCATTATATTTTATATTTTGTTTCTTAATGTCATGTATATTGTTTATGGAAGCTTTTTGTTTTACTGCATTTTCGGTTTTAAAATACATTTTACGCGAGTTCAATTGAAAAAAATCAAAATTTGAAAAAAATTAGCTAATATTACTTAAAATAGGTCCACATACAATATTGGGGAACATCATTGTATATGTTTATAATAAATAGTCTTCCCCTACTCCTATAAGAATAACCAGTCACTGAATAGAAATGAGACGGATGACATGTGGGTGTCACATGAACAAGGTAATTTTAACTTATTTGAATCATTTAATATGAACTAATTGAGTAATAATAATGTGAAATAATGAAAGGTGGACATGACACGAATAATAAATTTTATTATGAGTAGACGCATGCATAAGTGAAAAGGACAGGTACATGATGGGTATTTTAGGTATATAAAAAGAATCTTAATATTTTGAAATATGTATATACGAGCCGAAACGTCTTAATTGTTATGTGTAATCATTAAGTTGACAAAATTTAAAAATTGGCTGATAATAAATAAACTTGAAAATGAATAGTATGCACTGAAGAAGATATGAGAAATATTGTGAACATTTGCGTTGTTTCTGATGGTTACAGAATCGTGAATATTGGCTAGTAATGAAATGAACATAAACAAGAGATGCCAATCAATATAAATATAACATAGTTTGATTAAAGATATACAATGGTTATAATAAATAATATTTATAATAAAGACAATTGTAATGGATTAAGCAATCATTTCAATCCATTACAATCGTCTTTATTATAAATATTATTTGGCTAACCATTGTATATCTTTAATCAAACTATGTTATATTTATATTGATTTTCATTCTTGCTTATGTTCATTTCATTACTAGCTTATAGTCACAATTCTTTAACCATAAGAAACAACGCTAATATTGTACACATCTGAAATATTTAATCAGCAAATTATTTACATTCTACAAACAGAAATGCTACCTCCCTCCCCCTCTGACTATGTTTACCTACCTTTTGCTATCTGAAAAAGGACAACTGGGAAATACTCACCCTGATCTTTTCACTTACCTACCAAATGTGTCATTGTTACTTGAACATCCTCAGTGCTCAAACTACGGTTAGTGAGAGAAAATATTACAAAATTATATAAATGGATTATGTACATTCATAATACTGGCAAGTAGTTAAGAAAAATAAATACTTAAACATAAATTACGAATTTTAACACTTTATTTTTATTCTAATGTTATATTATGACATGAATTGCACAAGCAACCAACAAAATAATAAATAATAATAGTTTTCTGTCCAACATTTCAATGATGAGATTATAGTTGTCTCTTACTAAAAAGGAAAAGCAATTTGGAATATAAAGTGGTGCTTCAATAATAATTTTCAACCCTGTTATCTACAAACTGTCTCTGATTATGATATTTGTTAAGATTAAGATTAATCAGACTAACATTTATTTTATTATTGCAGTGGTATATCTAAATGATGATTTGGATTTAAAAAGCAATAAGGTAATTAAATGAGACAATTTACAATGTTGAAATTAAAAATCCTAATAATGTAATCTTAATTGCCGGTAACCTTAACTGTCATGTCGACAATCTAAATTATTTTATGAAAGAAGAAGCCATAATGAAGTAATTAATAGGTGCGGCAGAATTATCACTGAGATTATGGTGTAGAACAGCTGGGATTTATTTTTAAATGACAGAATTATTAGTGATTGTCTAGAACAGTTTATCTGTATAAAGTATAATGGACAGAGCATAGTTGACCAGGTTTGGTGCAATGGATATTAATAACTCAAATGATATTTTAAATTTATCAGTTGTAAATAACTGCAATTCTTATTGGGGTTGTGAAGACAGATTTTAAATAATTTAAAAATAGTAATTATGACCCATTCTTGGAGTGAAATAATTTAAAAAAAAAAAAAGTTAAATTCAAATTGATAATTGATCATTAAGCCATGTCGCTGATAGTAGGACATTTTGGGAACTAATTAATAACTGTAATTGTATGGGAACACTATTGCATCTAAATTTTCGTTTCTTTGCACCTTCTGTTAGATTTCCCGATTTCTGTTGAAGAAGTTCAGACCATCCTTAATAGTTTAAAGCCCCGTTCATCAGCTAGCAATGATGGCATCACATACAGTTTTAAAAAATTTGCATCTTGTTTGGAATTTTATCTTCAATATATGAGTGGCTTCATATCAAAGAAGGGTTTTCTGCCATTTTAAAAAGTTTAGAAAAAGCCAATTTTGGTAACATCACTTCAATTTATACCAATTCTAATAATTGTTTTCATTATTAAACTTAAACATTCTTAAATAAAAACATGAGACACAGTTTGAGTTGAACTTATAAAACAAAGGTCTTTGGTAAAAGGTCATTTATATGTATAACAAATCCCTAAGTGTAGGAAAAATTCTGATAGACAATGGTCACTGATAATCATTATAGTTATAATTTAACCCAGAAAATTGTTACCTAATTAATTAATTGTATTACAAAGATTTTTACTTAGATCTTACTGAACCATTTAATCATATGGTAGCATGAGGTAATTTTTATACTAGAAATACAATCTGGTTTCAGAAAACATCGCTTTCTTTTTTAATTTTTAAGTAATTTATATTCTGTAAGCACAATTGTGCAGTTAAATCCAGAATATGATGAAACCTTAAATCTTTTTCTTGTTATTTTAGACTTTAAACATGCAGTAAATCAAAATAAATTGTGGTTTAGGATGTTTCAACTTGGGGTTAGTTATAAAATGTGTAACAGGTGTAGTTTATTAGGTTGCCAGGCAACGTGTGTTTTGCACTAATCTTTTAGTGCTATTGTAATCTCTATAATTTGTTTATCACCTCCTCCTGACCCCCTTTGGTTGGTTTATTATTAAGGATTTCTTTTCCAAGTTTATTTGTCCCACAAGTGGTATTTTATTTGCCTTCTCCCTCTATATCTAGCAAGCATTCACCCTTGTACCATCTGGTGATGCACCATATATGTGTTTCAGACTATCAGCGTGGAATGTGTGTTGATATGTTTGAATACAGTCTAGCTCAATAACAAGATCCACAGAATGAATTTCGACCCTCACACTTTGGTTAGAATAGGTCGATTCCTGAAAGGTGATTTCGGAGAATAAGGTGAATAGGTTGGTGTGTGAAGGGGGCAGGGCGCCGAGCAGGCCAGAGAGCACTCTTCGGATCAAAACAAACCTCTCATAACTAAATAAATAATTAAAATATTCAACTATAAAAGAAACTGAACATTGGCAAAAAAACAAACAAATAAAATTAACAGATTAGATGTGTGTGTGAAAAACAAGTTAATTAATTGTTTTAAATGAACACATTATACTATCTATAATATTTACTTTCACTTACCTATCTATATATATATATATATATGAAAATTCCTATTTATACTTAAAGTAGGGTGGTAGATTAAGTTGTTTGATGCTGACCCTGCACCAGATTTTTCAAGTTGTTATAGGTCTGATTAATTATGGATATTCTTTCTGTTTGTTATTACCTATTATAATTTTGATATAATGTATTCAATGTTTTGCAGAAATACTTTAATCCTATTCAAGCTGCTAACAGTACTCCAATCGAATTGCATATTTCTAATCTAGATCAAAACATTGATCCAATGGAAATGAAAAAAATTCTTTTATCTATATTTGGAGAACATGTGATGGTAAGTTAAGAAGAGTAAATAATTTTAGTGTTTGAAAATTCATGTGATTAATTTACTAATATGGTTACTTATCTATTTTTAGGTACTTCATGTATCTGTTTTTGTTCAATCAGATGGAAATTTTGCAGCTAGCATTAAAGTTCCAACTATACAAGATGCACAGTATGCTATTTCACAACTTCATCGCAGAAAAATAGGTTACAAGAGAATCGTTATTTCTTATGCCCATTCTACTCAGCCACATAATCCTCAGTTTATTAGGTAATTTCACATTTCTTTCCTAATTGATTGATTAATTGACTTAAACACACACACGCATGTATATATATGTATGTATGTGTATATATGATCTCTGAAAATTGCTTTGAAATTTTTTACATAATGTTGCATTCAATTGCAGGGGTATTTTTTTCATGCATACTATTACAATTCACTTTTTAGTGTCGAAATTTCAGCCAAAAAGCTTATCCCGCTATAGACTGTAATGCTAAAATGTCTAACGATTTTAATGAAACTTGTCTAAAGTTTTCTTATTGAGTTGAATAAATTTAAACATTGGCACTAAGTGTTGCCATGGTGATGAGCAGTAAGCCTTTTGGTGGGTTCTTAGGCAAGAACATACTGTTTGCTAATGATCACTTGTGTGATTTGTTTTGTGCTGATATACTGTTTTTTTCATTTTTAGTGGTGAAACTTTATTTATTCTTTCATTTCCTTTAACACTTTTCTATGAAGCCTTTTAAATTTATGTATTTAACATAAATCCCCAAACAGATTCTGGGAAAAGAATTACTATTTTTTTTTTTTTTTTTTTTTTTAATTTATTTATTGAGTATTACAACAATCTGTCACATGGACACTAGTTATAGTGAGGTAGGATTTTGTACATTCACACTATATGTACAAAAAAATATAAAATAAATAGAAGCAAATTAACAATAAATAATAATCAAAAAGTATATGCAATAAATAAAATAAAATAACCTAAAAATAAGAAAATTAAAACTGAAAAAAAAACACATACATACCTATATACACCATTTACAATCAGGCGAGGGAACTCCAGGAGAACCCTGCGCTACTCTCTCAACAGCCTCACTGGTACTAAAGCCAACGGAGATTGATCGAGAGCACTACTATCAATTTAGAATTTTATTTGGGAATAACTCAAAAAGTACAGGATTTTTGGAGGAATATACCCATGATTATTAGAGAGTTTTCTAAATTTATTTCAATACAAAAAAAAAAAATCATGGAAATCAATAAGAAATAGGTCTGATAAGTTTTTATTTTAATTTTTGTTTCTCTTATTTTTAGTTTATGTTCATTAGGAGAACAGAGCTCTATTAAACAGTTTAAGAATCCTTGTAATTAACAATTTAATATTCCAACTTGCTGATGGTTGACTTCATGTAGAGAATCTACTCTTCTCTGCCAAGTAGTTGAATAACTGAACAGCCAACCCCTCTAATGAAGTAAGGAAGCGAAGGCGTCGACAAGGGTTATTCTGGACATCCCAATGGTACATATGAGAAATGTTTCTTTGGTTGGTTCGGAACTGATGATTTAGGCTAGAGCCAGATAATTCAAGGGCCAGTTAGGCGGCTTAGAGGCCATTCTCTCAACCTGACTTGGGGGCATTGTGCCAATAACCTGCTCTGGTTAAAAAACAACTTTATCACGAAACCTGTAGAAAAACTAGCCGGACTGGTCCGAAGGAAGTTTGATAATCGCCATCTAACGGATTTTAAACTTGGATATGGAATGTGTTATCATTATATAGACTATTGTACTGTTCAACTACTCTTTACTAGAGATCGACGATATCGAAATTTTGGACGATACCGATAATAAAAAGGCTGATATAGCGACCATATCCTTTTTTCTTCCTTTTCTTTAAGGTTTGTACAGTCTCAGATGGAATATCATACTCATTTCTAAATAAAAGAATCAATAGACCATCTACACATTGCCTTATACACAAATTTTGACTGATAAAAGAGAGATAAACCTATATTTCAGCATATCGTCCTTTAATTTTATAAATGTCTGGTTCTGTGCATCATCGCATAGAGAATTCTCGTAATTACTGAATGAAAGTATCAAGCTATTTTCTTATATTTGGTTTCTTCAAGGAATATATAAACCCTTATACCTTCAATATTAATTTTTTTTATTTCCGACGACGTTGAAAATTTTCAAGCTGATTAGCTCATTATCAAATCATCTACAAATAGCAATTAAACAAAGATAATTTAACAACTCTGGTCGCTCATTATCTAGTCATATAACGAGTGAGAACTTACCAAAAACATTTTTTTTTGGAATCGGGAATAGGTGTTGAGCATACAATATTCAGTCGGTATATGCAACTACTAGCTTATGTGAATGATGTCAACATCATTGGGCGCTCTCAACAAGCTGTCAGGAAAGCTTTTCAAGCACTGGTAGGTCCTGCAAGGAAATTTGGGGCCAAGGTGAACCAGAGAAAACCAAATATAAGGTGACAGAAGAGATGCCTGGACGCAATGAGATGGTGACATTTGGGTACTACCAATTTGAGCAAGTCACCAAATTTATTTATCTAGGCTCTATGGTAACACAGGGCAACAGTGCAGCAATGGAAATTTTAATAAAAATAATCTATTAATCAGTGCTACTACAGCTTTAATCAGAGACCACATTTTTTATCCATTTTCACCGAAAAAAGTTTCGTTGAGATCAGTGATCTCACATCCATTACTCCCATTTTTAGTTATACCAAATTCTGAAAATATCCTTATGATATTGGTTTATAAATTTTAATAATGTCTGTTGAAATATACGTTTCAATGTATTTTTTCTATATATTTTTTTTTAGGTGGCAGATTGTATCATTATTACAAGATGTTCCTGGATTTAAGTTACCTTTGTTTAAATTCTTAAAAATGTTTGAATCACGTTATGTGACAACAATATCTGTATCTGACCTGTATCGCTTGAAGGATGTCTGTATAATAACTGATGAATGTGTTGGTAGAATGGTTTCTCTTAATCCTGACCATCGGAATTCACCATCACCTAACTTTAGTTCTCCCCAGGTAAAAATGAAAAAAGTAATAATGAACATAATATTTAAATAAGCTAGATTTTATCATCAAAAGTTATGAAATTTTAAACTTTTGCTAATATACCATACATAGACAGCAAATCTTGATTGTTTATCATCCTCATAATTAAAAATAACAGTCAACTATATATCCATTTCTAAATTATCAAATTTTAGTTTTACTTTCACTTCCTCATATGTGTAATATATAGTAAGAGAAAGTGTTGCAATCTAGATAATTTTCAACAGCAATACATTTTTTGAGGTCCTTTAAGTCCAACTAATCAAGTCTCACAAAATGTTATGTTCATGTGTATATGTGATCAGTCTAGCTCGAAAAGGAATAGTCGCACAAAACTGAAATTACATATTTAAGATAGGTATATGCCTAGGGTGTTACGGAACTTTTTCTTTCAAATCAGATAACCAAAAGTGCCACTTTATATACCGTAGATTTTACACATTTTTATGATTTTTCAAACACAACTATTTTGATTAAACTTGATATGTTCATACATATTCTCATCCAAATATTTTTCAAAATGACCATTTTAGAGACCATGATGTCTTCTTACGAAAGATAGGCAAAATTTGAAACAAGCCTAGACGCTTTGCAGTTGTGACAAATATTAGAACTCGGGGAGCGTAACAACAGCTAATGTGATATATAATAATATTACTTATCCTGAAAATTAATATTATTTAATGGAAATCAAATGTTTCCATGTAAACTAAATAAAATGTCCTAACTAAATGTAAACTTTTAAAATTATTTTTAAGTTTAAAAAAAGTATATATCGTTAGCACCATGTTAAAATAACAAATGTGAATTTGCCCAATGTAAACTTTCACTTATGATTATTCATTATTACATGTTGATGTACATACCTAAAAAGCTTTAAATTTGTAAAAATGACATTACTGATTCCAGTCTTCTGGTCCCCATTGAGATTTAACATTTTGCCCACAAGGTGGGCATGAAGTAAGTACTATGGTAAACGAACAAAATTGAAAAATCACATTTTTCACGTTCATTACTTTAACATGGTGGATTATATAATTCACTGAATTGAAGCAATGCAATTGTTTATAGACTATTTTATTATACTTGTATTAAGAAAGAAATATATATATATATAATATGAATATAAAAATATTTTCATGGATGGATAAATCGTATGTTTATAACTTTAAATATATTTACTGAAGTTTAATTACTTTATATCTGATAATATATTTAAATAATGAAATATATATCATTGATTTATTTCAAAAAATCATTAGTGTAACATTTTAGAAAATTAAATTAGTGAATAATTGATTTATTTTTCCTCTGTGAAATCTCATTATTCACTTACAATTAGTATGACGATTTTTTGTCAACCGATGCTATATTGAAAAGCTCATAACTGTGCCTGGGTAAATTTTACAAAAAAACAAGAGTTTAAACACTTGTAAAAAGTGATAGAAATTTAATTCCTATAATTTTTACCATATAGTACAATCCTTACTTATTCATGGATGAAATATGTGTACTTTCAAATCTCTCTTTTTATATAGAAATCAGAGACTGGAGTTATGTGGTTCCAATAGACTGATGGAGTTACAAGGTTTTATTGCCTACCATCGATATAATAAATAGGGTTTGTATTATTTTGATGGTGTTAATGAGTCTTTGCATTGATAAATATGGTCGAAATTCATTAATGTGTTTTTTAGCTCCATTAAAAATGTACTTCAAAAACTTTTTTTTAATAGTCCAATTTTAGCAATCAATAATTTCTATTTAAAGTTGAGGGATAAGTGAAAGTTGAAGGATTCACGCAACAAATTTTTATTTAATTAAAGATTTTATATAAAATTATACCAAATACACAATATAATTTTGTTGATAGCTTATTACTGATAATGTTTAATATTAAATAAAATCTTATTTTGAATAATAATTTGAGTATAGAAATCTGTTGTGATGTGCCCATCACACAACTTTCATTTACCGACTTTGAATTGAAACTGGTATTTTCATACAAACGGAAGTCAAAGTAAAAATTATAGCAGTACTATATATTATTTAAAATGATTAATTAACATATGTTTTTCCACCTATCTAATCTATTAAATTTATACATTTTTGTCACTAACCTTTTTCCATTTATGACTGTGTATTTTAATTATTAAAAAATAAATTAAGTTGGAATTAATATAATCTATTTAAATAATTAAATATAATTGGAGCCTGCAAATTTCTCTTCTATGATATGCCATATTAAGCTAAGCACATCTTACGTTTGGAAGTCTATCCTATTTTTTTTTTTTTAAATCACAAAAATTATTAAGAATTTAGAACCCTTTGGACTGCACAAAATGCCACTAATCCTTCCTCTGTAAACAAAGAAATAAAATAAAAAGAGTGAAGTTTTTATTTATTTTTACATTTTGTAAGCATCAAAATTAAATATTATTAACAGAAGCAGTAATTCAGCTTTTCAACTGTTGTAGTAACATTGAACTTAGGAAAAATCTTGAGAAGTTATAAACGCATCAATAAAAAGAAGAGAAAAAATCTTTCTAGAAAATGAAGACTTTAAATTTTTTATTTCAATAAAAATTAGTATTTTAGAGCTTTAAAAAAAAGGTAAAAATGAATCTAACTTGCTTCTTTACAAAAAGCAGTAGGCCTACTTTACAGGAAGTGTCTTTTGGTTTTTGTAATTTGTGATACATTTGAACTTATTTGATACTATTGGCAATATTTTTTTCTTATTTACACCCAAAAAAAAAAATTATTTGTACATAATAACCTAAAAGCTCGTGCAGAGCAAAGGCAAAAACTAACAATATAATTTTTTTTTAAATAATAATAAAAAATCATCTTGGCTCCTAAGGCCCATTGGAATTAATGCTGTTACATGTGTCTAATATTTTTCAATGTACAATCACCAAAAATAATTTGGTTGAAATCAGTGGCCCACTGACTGTAACTTCCCCTTGTTGGTGTAACTACTTTTGATATATCAACAGTAGGCAATGAAATTTTGAAATTTCTCAACGGGTGAAACATAAGATTTTAAAAATATATATTAAGTGATACACATTTGGTTTCTATAATTTTTACTTTATAGCATAATTTTTACTTATTTATAGGTTAGAGATATTTGTACTTTCAAAGCTCTCTTTGTATTTAGAGCTCCAAAAGTGCAGTAATGTGGTTTATATAGACCAGAGGTCTCCAAACTATGGCTCGTGGGCCGTATTCACCTTCCGGAATCCCCTTCAATCTGGCCCTTGAAAGTTTCTTTAATTACATGATAAAATTTAATTTTTTTTTAAATATTAAAATTACCAAATTACTCACAGACGAGGTTACTACAACATATATTGTAGATTGTCGAGATCTGAATATGGCTTGCGGGCCAAATAGTTTGAAGACCTCTGATATAAACTGATAAAATAATTATGAGTTTTTCATTGCCTACTGTCGTTATAACAGAGTTTGTGTTATTTTGATTGTTATTATAATTTTTACATTGATAAATATAAGAAAAATCCACAAATGTGTTTCTAATGTTTAGCTTCATTAAAAATGCACTTTGAAGAATGTTGCATTAGCTCAATTTTGACAGAAAATAATTTCTACTCAGAATGGTAAGTGAAAGTTATGTGATGCGTGCACTAGATTTTTTTTTTCTAAATATCATCCTGGGCCAAATCCACTCTAACCTATTCGCCTTATAACTGCCAAAAACTTAATATAAAAGCTTTAACTTCTATCATATCTTGAGAGTTCCATATTTCAGATAATTTATATTTATTAGCATTCTTTTGTTTCCTTATTACTGAATCGTGTGGAAGGTTAAAAAATTTTTGTGCTCAGAATCGATAATTTCCACTCATGTTTTACGTTTCAAACATTAAAGATCAAATTCGGTTCACTGTCTGTTATCAAATCGATGTGACGGGAATATCACCTACTACTGTAAATGTATTTTCTTTGATATGCTAATAGCAAAGAATCATCTCGTTTGATTTGGCTAAAAATTAGAAAAATTGTTTTTAATGATATAAAAATGATGCTGCATAAATTTTATTGAGTTCCATTCATTACTTTCTCTAAAATATGGAAAATGTATATTCCTTGATTCGCCTATATCTCAAAATCCACATGTTCGATTTGGCCCAAAGTTGGGGATTGATAAATAAATGATTGAGTAGGTATCAATTACTTCGAATTCTATCCACAACTGTCAAAAAATACTTCCGCTTTTGAAACTGAAAATGGCTAGTTCGGTTTGACCCAGATTTAAAGAATAGTGTACAAAAGAATAATATAAAATTTCATTAAATTCCATTTTACAATAAAAATTAATATATGAAAAAAAATATATATATATATGATGGATGTGAAATGTGGAAGCTTGTTAATATATGGGAAGGTTATATTTGTATGAGTTTTGGGTGCATAGGGGTGCGTTTTTCTGGACTAGACTATTTCATCGGTTTATTGCAAAAAGTCAGTAAGTACATTTTTTATGGAATTGTGCTTGATATATATATAAAAAAAAAAATCTATGTAAGAATAAAAGTCATTTTAGCTCTTTTACATTTATTTACTTCTGAGACTCACCTATTTAGATTTTTCAAAATTAAATTTCCTGAGAAAACAAGATTTAAACTCATAATCTTTACATTATATTGGAGATATAGTTGACTGTAGATCAATAGTATAACTGGATTGGAGGTACAGTCAAACGTGAAAGTATTAAAAAAAAAATACACTAGCTATTCGGCTACACCAGTCTTATTTCTTCATTAAAGTAAACTTGATGTTAATGCTTCTTATTATTTTTCTAAAACTATTTCAAACAGGATGTTGAACCTTACTGTAGTAGACATTATAAAGTGAAAAGCTGCTTTGGAAAAGGGTGGGCTGAACAAGAAGTTCCACCTCTTCCCAATATTTTGGTATCTCTTCAGGATTTTTCTACTAATGTACATTGTTTAATTGCTACTCACAATAATGCCCTCCCTTTATCAAGGTAATGTGTAAAATTTATTTATAAATACTAAAATGTTTTTATTTTACATTTATTTTGTCTTACCTGCTTGTTATATTTTATCATTTGAAGTTTAGTTAAGTGTGATAGTTTTAGGAGGTTAAAGCCTTACTAGTTTAGGTAATTGCTGTAAATTTATTCTGAAAATGTTTTTGTAATTATAGAATTTCATTCTATTTGATTTGTTCAACAAGAAAAAAATAAATTTTAAAAACGGACTATCAAATTAATTATAATCCATCCTTATGTTTTTGAATACTTACTTAAACACATTGGTGGGTCATTATTGAAGCTAACATCTGTATTGGAACATGGCATAGTTGCTGCATAATGTAAACGTATAGTGAATGGCACCCAAGTACTTCGCCAATTTCCGTGGTTTACAGGTTTTTTTTTTTGGTTTTTTTTTTGTATGTGGATAAATATTGATTCAGTGTGAAGATATTTTTCATGATAAGGTACAGTAGCAAGGACAGAAGTATTATCAATGTCAAAGGAGTGGTTAAGGAAGATCTACAGTTTGTCGTTATTTCTTAGAATTATTATATTAGGAAAACTGGAAGAATAGGATTTTTAAATTTTATTATAAAGAGTAGGGATACATGCGGGCGGGGTGCCCGAATGAGCTAACGCGTGTGCACAGCACCGCCGTTGCTCGGCAACCTGATATATGACAAATGATATCAAAATAGTCACGCGTCCCTGTGCCGAGGGAGTCTTTTGAATCCTCGCTCACACCCTCTGGCCCAGGAAAACCCCGTATAGCTTTAACGGCGAGGAAGGGGAGGACCCCCTCCCTCCTCCCTCCCTCCCCCCCCCCAAAAAAAAGTATGGATGTATGCAATAGATCTGCATTTCACAGATGTTGGATGGGGTTGTGAGGAATTTGTTTAAGGATAGTGGGCTTTAGAAGTGTTAAAATCGATTATTATTAGTAATTTTGAACTGGTCTACTGAAAACATATTTTATAAAAAAATCATACTTGTACATTACGTTAATTGTTCATCGTACATTTATAAAAATAAAACCTGTTGTTTCTCTTAGAAACTCAATAGTTTATGGGTCCACCATGCTTCTATTGCAATCTTAAATTAAATTAAGAACTTTTAATTAAACATTTGATGAGGTGATCAGATAAAAAGCATTAAGAAAATTGCTATTCCGAATATTCTTAATGAATGTAGTCAAAAATCTTATACACTGCAGTTTGACCTTAGCTGACCTCCTATTTCATAATCACAACAAAACCTTTTTACACAAGATCCTAAAATCTAATGATTTCCCTCTCACCCTCTCATCATATCTTTAATTAATATTTCCTTTAAAGCCCACTTCTCAACAATTTCTCACAAAACCGTATTACATTTGTACAATGCAGATCTATTCCATACAATTCTACTCCTTCTAATAAAACTAATAAATCCTTTTCTTACAGTTTTCATAATAAATGGCTAATTTCCAAAAATAACCACAAACTAAAAATTATACAGCAACATAAAAGATCCCTTACCTCTCCTAAAACAATCCAATTTAATTTACTGCATCTCATGTTTCACTCCTAATTGTAATTTCTGTAATATTGGTGAGACCAAAAATTATCTTACATACTTAAATCTCAACATAGATTTAATATTTCTACTCGAACCCATATTCTTCAAAATTATCAAAACATACCTTATCTCTTACTCTTTTGACTTCAATAACTATTCCATTCTTGTTACTGTTCCAAAAAAAACTCTCCTCATCAAATTCATATTTATCTATCTAGAAAAAAAAAACAACCTTGTAAACCATAAAGTAAATAAAGAGATAATTTCATCAACTTGCTTCAATATCTTCCACCTTCTAAAAATGTAATATTTAATTTTAAGTCCCTTGATATCAGATTATTAACATCCTCCTGAAACTATGTACATAGCTTCATCTCATGGTAACCTACAAATATTTTATTTACAAAAATTCTCAGAATTGGGGCGTTTTCAATCTGGAGGTCATAAAACTTTGTCTATTTAATTAGGTACTAAAAACTCTTAAACATCCATTTGCTTTCCACTTAAATCATAAGATAACTTTAGCTCAAAGTCAAGAAAAAAAGTGGCCTTCAAAAATATTGAGCCATTTGGCATGACCTATATCTCCAAAATGTCAAAATAATTAGGTTATATAAGGTAAATGGCCCAAGATTTTTGTAGGCCATCTTTTATATCGATTTTGTAATCAAATTATCTTATGATCAAAGTGGAAAGCAAATGGGTATTTACGAGTTTTTAGTATCTAATTAAATACACAAAGTTTGCTGACCTCAACATTGAAAATACCCCAATTCTGATAATTTTCATAAGTATAATTAATATTTGTAAGTTACGATGAAACAAAGCTATTTACGAAGTTTCAGGTGAATGTTAATAATTTGATAGAAAAGATTCTGTACCACAGACTAAAACTTTATATTTGATTCCTATGTTCTCAGAAAAATAACTTGAGTACTCTTTTGGAAATCAAATCACTTTTTATTCCAACGAAAACTTAAAAAGATTTTAGACCTTTTTAAACCTTTAGACTGAATTTACAGCAATAGTTCACACATCTGAATATTTTTAATAATTTAAATATTTTTAAAAAGTTGAATGAGCTAAATTGACTCTTAGAAAGACCTTCCTCCTATACTTTTGGTGATCGCTTATGTGTGTGTGTCTGCATTGAATGATTTGCAATTACTTGACTTTTTTATGAACTCCCAGACTATCTTCTTAAAATATAAATTCATAATTGTTCCAGTCTGTTCATATAATTGTTCATAATCCGGAATTTGTTATGAATTGTCAAAACCATCTATAAATTCAGTAATATTTTTCCTTAAAAATTATGCTGGTCACAGGTTAATGTGTCCATGTGAGAAACTGGTGGGGTCTTTAGACTGGTACTTTTCATGATATTATTCAAAGTGAACTTGGGGAAAAAACTTACTGTATTTATAATGATAACGGAAAATTTATTGTTTGTTATATGAAATTTATCATAAGATATATTCTTTTTTATTTTAAAATTAAATGGATAGTATAATTGATTTTCTCTTTACTTCCTATAGTGATAGTGATTATATAAATTAAAAATTATGTTTTATATTATCTGTATTTATACAATATTATTTTAGCTTCATTGTTTGCTATGAAGCAGAATGTGGTTTATTACTCCGATCAGAAAATGGTGTAGCTCTTGAACATTTAGTGACCTGTATTAACAAAGTTGAGTTGTCATCTGCCAATGGTGTGAAATATTTAAAACCTGCCCCTAATCGGAATTTTCTTGATGATAAAATAGAAGGTATTTATTTTTTACCTACATTTTTAAAATATTTATTTAAAAAGAAATATTTATTGAAGTATTTGTTGCAGATGTAAGTAAATGTGTGAGTCCATCATTAGTGAAACAGCTTACATTTTTCGGACGAGAATTAGTTGATCTTCTTAGAACTCAACCTCATTGTCAATTATTGTTTAATCGCCTGATACCAGCTTATCATCACCACTTTGGTCGCCAGTGCCGAGTAGCTGATTATGGGTTTACTAAACTTATTGATCTTCTAGATGCTCTTCCTAACATTGTACAGGCTAGTATCCATGCTTTGCATTGATTTAAAGTATTTAAGTTAATACAGTATGAATTATCTGTTTTGCTGTTATTCAATAAAATTAAGTATTAGCATGGTCTGAGGCAAATTTTTGTTAAAGTTAAGAAATATTTCACATAAGATTTATTTTCCATTTTTATTTAAAACATAAAATCCTTTTTCTCTCTGGTTTTTGTATAATGAGGTTTTTTATTTCTTTCAATAATCTAAAGATTTAATTGTTCGATTGATTTTTAATTGAGGGAAACAATTTCTAATTTAGTGAAGTTAAGGCTAGTGATTATGATTAATAAGATAACACATTCAGTTCAGGTTAAATTAATTTTATTGTAAATCGTTACCACTATCATTTTATGATTTGGTAACACATTGTGATAAAATTTTAAAAAATATAAAAGTTAGCAAGTTACTTACACAAGAGGTTACTACAATATTTATTGCATAGATATTTTCTTCATTACATGGCCTGCGGAACATAAGTGGAGGTCTCAATATGGCCCGTGGGGCAAAAAGTTTGGATAGCCCTGATCTACTTAATTTCTTAAAAGATGGAGAATAGTAATTTAACAATGGTTGATTAGAATGTAAAAATTCTTAATTTTTCTAAGAGATGGGGCTGGAAACAAGAATTGATTCATAGTATAACTTCTTATGTTATTTTGTTGCTTTGACAGTACATTTCCAAAATACCATCGATGTTCAAACAATTTCGAGTTAGCCTCATATTTTTTTCATGTGGTAAACATGTAGAGTTTTAAGCCCAATAAAGAGCATTTGTGGTATGTATTGCTTTTCTTGTTCAATCAAAAGATTAACCCAAGTTAAATCGGTCATATAATAATAAAAGGCTTAGAGAACCCGAAGGTTCTATGCCGACACCACCAATCGCTTATTACACACCTCCCTCCACCGTTGGCTGTTCAAACCTAATCCCTTCAGATCAGCTTTAATGCAATCTTCCCACCTTCGCTTCGGTCTACCCTTCGGGCATTTATCATTCGGTAAAGCAAATATTAACCTTTTAGGAATCCTCTCATTACTAAGCCCAACAATTTTACAAGCCCATTTGATTCGCTGGGATGAAATCACCTCAATTATATTATCTGGATACAATTCACGCAATTTGGCGTTGTGTAACCATCTGAACTCTCCGGTTAATTCATCCTTCTTCAGTCAGAATATTCTACGCAATACTTTATTTTCAAAAATCTTAAGACGTTGTTCATCCCTTAATGTAAGCGGCTGTAGGTAGACAATAAAGAACTGTAGGTAAGACAATGGTTTTATAGATTCTAATTTTTAAGTTCCGAGACAAGAGGCGCGAGCTAAGTAGTTTTGTCACAGAAAAATAACAAGCATTTCCCACCTTCAGTCTTACCTTAATCTCTTCTTCAATTTCGTTTTTTCTAGGTATCGTAGACCCTAGATACCTAAACTTCTCTACCTGATCAAACTTATTACTATCTATAACGATGTCACCAATAATATCACTATTTTTGCAGCTAACCATATATTTTGTCTTGTGCGTGTTTATTTCAAGCCCTAGTTCTTTACTGGCACGAGATTTTTATTGCCTACCGTTGATATAATAAATAGACTTTTTGTAGTTTTAATGGTCTTAATGATTTGTTATCTGTAAGCTTTAAGCTTTAGCTCCGTTTAAAATGAACTTGAAAAAATTTATAATAGCCCAACATTGCCAGAAAATAATTTCTATTCAAAGTAGAGCGGTAAGTGAAAGTTTGTGTGTTGCAAGCAACAGATTTTTTTTTTTTTAATATGTATTTATCCTACTGCCGAAATGGAAATATATTTTTTAATACCTCGACAAAATGAAATATACTTCTAATTAATTTAATTGATTTTTTTGTTTAGTTTAATATTTCTAGTGGCTCTGTCACATATTTTTTATGCTAAAATTAATTAATTAAAATATTTTCAATTTTTTTTTAGGTTATTGGTGAAGGAAATAAAAGAATTGTAACCCTCTCGCATAGAGCTCAAATCAAGAGATTTACATCAGATCTCCTTAGAGCTTTAAAATCCCAGCCATGTAAAAAACTCACATTTGAAGAATTGCCTCTGGTAATAAAAAAAAAATAACTTTTTGTCTAGATCTTTATTTTATTTTAAATTGTTTATGTTAACATTACTACAAGCAACTATTTTTTTTTTTTTTTTCCTATTTTTGCTTAGCTCACATAGGAAGAGAACCTTTTTATCATAGGGGCTGCATTGTGGTTAAGCATTGATACTAAATTTATTTATATTTCACCATGAATATTTTTATTTGTTTAAGCATATGTATACAAGTTTTAATTTTCATGTTGTATAATTAAAAATAGATCATTAACTAATGCTGCTATCCATAACACAAAACAACCTGACATCACAACACAACTTACTGACTTCATTAATGAATATAAAAACCTTGTGACTCCACTAATTTCATTACTTACCATCCTAATGCAGCACCTCCTGCCCAAGCTTACGTCATGAAAAGATTAAAAATTCTTCTATGGAATTCAAATGGCGTACTTGCGCACAGAAATGAGCTAGAAGTATTTCTTGGTGACAAGGAAATAGATGTAGCACTCTTGACCGAAACACACTTGAGAAGCCAAATTAAATTTTCAATACCAACTTACAACACTTTCAGGACTGACCATCCATCAGACTGTGGCACACTCATTCTAGTTAAAAAGTCTATTGATCACTACTTTAACTCTTCTGAGGCAAGTGAGTGTCTGCAGAGTACCTCCGTTGTTCTAAAAGTTTTTCCCTTCGAGTTGTCTGTCGCTGCTGTCTATTGCCCATCTAATGAAACCTTATATTCTCAATCCTTTAATACTTTATTTTATAATTTAGGTCATAGATTCCTATGCGGTGGTGACTTTAATTCTAAAAACCAAATATGGGGCAGCAGAATGACTAATTCCCGAGGAAGGACCCTTCACAACGCTATCATCTCCAGCAGTTGCTCTCATGTTTCACCTCCTTCACCAACATACTGGCCTACTGATCTTAATAGAATTCCTGATATTTTAGATTTCTTTATTAGTAAAGGGCTCAACCAGCTGCACTTTGACATCGAAAATTTGTTTGATCTTTTGTCGGATCACTCTCCTTTGCTACTTACGGTTGATCTAGAACCAATTCTGAAATCTCCACAACCGACACTTACGCCAGGTCAAATTAATTGGAAAAACTTTAGGGATACGTTAGAAAAATCTATCTCGTTGAACACCCTCTTGCGGACTCCAGATGAGGTTGACGATGCAGTCCAATCACTAACGCAAGCTATACAACAAGCGGCTTGGAATTCTTCCTTATGTCCATTAAAACAGTCCAGGGTAAGAAATATGAAAAATAGCATCCCAGATTCAATTAAATACCTCTTACAAGAGAAACGAAAAGCTCGTAAGAAGTGGCAGCGCACTCCTTATCCTTCATATAAGTCCAAATTTAATCAGCTAACAACGGAATTGCGAGAAGAAATCAAACGATTTAAAAATGAAAATTTTAATACCCTCCTAAACAGCTTGGATAATAACAATGCATCTATTTGGCGAATGACAAAACGCTTGTTGAATCATCAAGAGACATCGCATCCAATTCGATATCCTGATGGCTCGTGGGCAAAGTCAGATGCTCAGAAAGCTGAATTATTCGCATGCCACTTAGAAAATATATTTACCCCTCACAGTGATTTGCAAGATTCGAGCAGTGCAAAATTGGTAGAATATCAATTAGATATTCCATTAGAGATGACCACCCCACCTAAACCTTTTCATTCAAATGAAGTTAGCGTTATTATCAATAGTTTACCAAATCGAAAATCTCCAGGGTTCGATCTCATTACTAACTTTATTCTAAAGAATTTACCAAAAAAGGCCATTATATTCTTAACAAACATATTCAATTCCATTCTTAGAACGACACATTTTCCGATTTTATGGAAATACTCAATCATAACTATGATTCACAAACCCAATAAGAATATAGACCGCCCTGATTCTTACCGCCCAATTAGTCTTCTACCTTCTCTATTTAAAGTATTCGAAAAAATTCTGTTTCGGCGTTTAAATTCACTTAGACTATTTGATGTCATTCCAAATTTCCAGTACGGGTTCAAAGAGCATCATTCGACTATTCAGCAATGTTACCGCCTTATAGATTACATATCTTTCTCGCTAGAATCAAAAATGTACTGTCCTGTCGTTTTTCTTGAAATGAGTCAGGCTTTTGATAGAATATGGCACGATGGTTTGTTACATAAATTAAAAACGATCATTCCTCCAACGTATTACTTAATTTTACTATCATATCTAAAAGATAGATTTTTTCGTGTGAAAATGGGGACTGAGTTTTCTGTCATCAAACAAATAAAAGCTGGAGTACCTCAAGGCAGTGTCTTGGGTCCAACACTTTTCAACATTTACTGTGCAGACATCCCACAACATTCTGAAACACTGTTGGCTACATTTGCTGATGACTCGGCAATATTAACATCTAACAAGGATGCAGCAAAGGCTTCTCAGGTACTTCAAGAACACCTAGACGACATAGCTTGTTGGGCTAAAAGGTGGAGAATAAAAATGAACAAGTCTAAGAGTCAATTTGTTTCATTTACACTTAAACATAACTCTTGTCCTCCAGTGTTCTTTAATAATATTGCTCTAACACCTTCAAAAACTGTACGATATTTGGATCTCCACTTAGACAAACGACTGACATGGACATACCACATAAAAAAAAAAAGAAAAGAACTTAATCAGCGATACGGACTTCTTTCTAGGCTACTTGACAGACGTTCTAAATTATCTGTGACTAATAAATTAACTATTTACAAAGTCCTCATTAAACCACTACGGACATATGGGATCGAACTATGGGGAACAGCAAAGAAATCAAATATGAAAATCATTCAGTCATTCCAGTCAAAAGTCCTTCGGAAAATTGTAGACGCACCCTTTTACGTTTCAAATCTCACGTTACACACTGACCTTAACACTCCTTTCATCACGGCAACTGCCACTGACCGCTTTAATAATTTTCATGACAGACTGACTCTAAATTCCAATCCACTTACTCAAGCTCTATCTACTGCCACAAATCCATATAATCCGCCCAGAAGACTGCTGAGGCGGTGGCCAAGAGACTTATTGCATTGAGCTACTTGCTGCATTATCTTTTTTGTGTGTGTATTTGTTATTATGTTATAATGTATGTGTTATTTTACTATGTTTTTTTTTTTTTTTTTTTGTCCTGTTATTCTTCTCCTTGATATCATATTTGCTGAATACTAAGGTAGATGGCAAATTTATTGTGAGCCACAAATATGTACAACTAATAAATAAATAAATAATTAAATATTAATTTTACCAGAGATGAAAGTTGTCAGTGCTGCACAAAAAGTCATCGAGGCTCAACTATCTGTCGAAGGCAGTAGGTTGCCCCATTATGGCTTAGCTCATTTCCCACTATTATTACTTGTGATTATTCTGATGTTTAATTAATGCTAAATGATCATTTTCCCCAGCTTGTGATTTCCAGTCATAATAAAAAGACATTTTATATATGGCAATGGTTTTTTAAAATATGTAACTGTAATTTACTATTATTATTTTGTTGAAATATATAAGATATGCATGCAGACATATACTAACAGATGATGACCTATCAAACAAACTCATTCATATGATTCTCTCTCCCTCTCATTTAGCATGGTGGGATTGAATCATAGAAAATATTCAACTTCCCTCTCAAAAATTATCAGATATTACTTGTCTAATAAAATTTTGAAGAGTAATGAAAATATTGTATCAATAACTTATAAAATCACAGATTTTGAGGCTCTTGTGGAACTTGGTGCTCAAGCTCACAGGTTCTGTAGTTAAAGCCAGCTACAGAGCCTTAAAAGATGCTTGTTGCTTCTCTCCATTAAATGGTATAAGGGGAGGAGTCATTTTCTGGATTCAGGAGGAGTCATACCCTCTATATTTTCTAGCTTGTCTTTATCTGGCTGTATACCTCTTTCGGACAATCGATGATCCATGTACAATAGATAGTGTATATTCTATGGTGAATGGTGGTAACACTGATTTTATGATTGTTCTATTGTTTTTCACTGTTATAAAAAAATATGGAATAAAAGTGTTAATGAAAGTTTCTTGTGTAATTAGTGAACATTACAATTAGTGATGAGAATTAAAACGTACTCAAGCAATTTAGTGAATGGAGTGTAAGTAAAAGATGCTATCTGGGTATTTGGGACAAATAAGAGAGTTTTCCCTCAAAAATAAATGGAGCCTCTCCAAGTCAAGGTTAGAGGGTTTTTCTTAGCAAATGAAACAAAAGCTATTTTTCTCAATGCCCTAGCAGAAGATGCTTTTAAGCTTTCATCTGATTTCTGTGTTCCAAAGGCCCCTATCGATTTAAAGTATTCTGAGCTTCTGTCCTGATTTGATCTTCATTTTGTGGGGGAAGAGTCCGTTTATGCTGCTAGATATAAATTTCATTATTCGACATGAGAACCAAAACAAGGCATAAATGATTGGTTTGCAAGAATCTGAGCTTTGGCAGGTAATTGCAAATACACCTTGTATCTGGATGGTAGGATCTTAGATCAGTTTGTACTTGGAATGGGAAAAGGAAATATCAGAGATAGACTTTTTGAAGATGACTTTAACCATTGATAAAGCACTGGCCACTGCAAAAGAAGTTTCAGTAACTCAATACGACCTAAGCCAGAAAATGATTAAGCAAGGACTTGTAAATAATGTTAAGTTTTCTGTAAGAAAGAAACCAGATCCGTTCAAAAATGATAGCAAGCAGTGCTATGTGTTTGGTGAATGGAATCACATTTCTTCTTTCAGTAAGTTTAAAAATTACAAAATTTAATGTTTGTACTCAAGTACTTTTGTACTCAGTCTTTGATGACTGAAATAAAATATGCCAGAAAAGACAATCCAATAATTGTCCAAATTCAAAAAAATAGTTCAGTTTTCCTCAGTCAAATCTCATAATCCGTACATATATTATTACAGTAAGGCTCGAAATCGGTTTTGTACCAAATATAAGCTCCTGTCATGCTCAAATACCATGAATGGGGTACTGTTGGATTCAGAATTTCATGGGGGGTTAGCGAATTGTATTCTCCACTTTTGTTTTTCTTTCTAAAATAAATGAAGTCGATACAAACATTTTGCTAGGCTTAAATTCCTGAACAGTGGCAGGTCTGTAGATTGACACGGGACAAATTGGATTTAGAAGATTTTGATGCGTACAGCAAGACCCGGATAGTTCCTCCGGAAATATCGGATCCTGCATTTTTAAGCCCAAAAATGTACTATTTTCGAGATAACACAAGGCTTATAGGATTCGCATCCACGCAACCTTACATTAATTGTAGTACTGTCATTGAATACATGTCTCATTTCATCGACTTGAGGTCTCAATGATCGAGAGAGGAGGAGTTTATATTATTTATCGATGGTGTTTTTTGATCGGCAAGCCATATCATCGTCAATTTTTCACCAAATCTCAAGATTGAGCCACCAATTTCGAAGGCTTCCTTCTTCTTCAGGCAGACAAAATAGTCCAATCACCCCAAAAATTCAGGCAGACAAGTTATAAAAGAAAAAAACTTTATTTGCGAATAACTAAAAAATTACACACTTTTCCCTTGGTTATGCCCGTGATTGTATAAAGGATTACTTAATTCCCTACAAAAGGAAAAAAAAATCATTGAAATCTGACAATTTTTAGCAAGGATACATCTTACTGAAATTTGTAAACATGTTGGTTCCAAACAAAAATGAAGATTTAAATTAATTTTTGTTTTCTTTGTCGATTATACTTATGGATAAAGTAACATTTTATTTCTTTATCTTTTGATACGTTGCATTATTTTATTTTATTATTAATCTGGTATTTGATAACAATATGCAGTGCAAATTTTTCGCACGGGCCTACTAGTCATTATATAATTCCATTTCTAGCTAAGACACAAAAAAAAAATTAAATCTAAGATATATAATATTCTTTTGAAAAATAAAATAATCTTCGAGATGCTTAATTATATCTTTAAGTGTTTCTAACTTAGTGGACAAATTGTTCCAAATCTTTTTTTTTTTTTTCTCCTACTATATGTTTAAAAATAGCGCACTTAATTTTTTATTTATATCCTCCAATCGCATCAACATAAATTTCATATCTTTCTATCAATTCAATTGTGGGCTACAAATTGCCAGATCATCATTCCAAGTCATGGGTCTTGAAGTTGCATAAACGATTCCATTATTCTTATTAACAATTATTTTGGTATATAATATTATTCTTAGTTCATCTGCAGTTTTATATTTCTTTAATTAGATGATAATAACAATGAGTTTTATTAAATGACTTAATTGTCACCTAATACTAGTAACCTTTTACCAAAATTTAATATTAATAAAATATGATGATAATGGGAATGTAATATTACAGATATCGTGACAATCATCCTCACCCTGTTCTGAAATTTCTCTACCTATCCAATCATCACAGTTTTCAGTTTAAAATCCAGTCAAAATAATGGAAGTTAGACCCACAAACCAAGGGGGAGGAGGGAGGGAAGCGAAATCCGACCTCTACCTTCCTGTGTTACTCCCTGAGTAATTCTAACATAGGAAGTACTGCATTGTGCAAGTTTGCAACAGGGATTGCATCTAATTAACTCTGCCGGAGTCAACGGCAGCTTTCTGAGACATAGTTAGTTTGTTTATTGCGGAAGGGCAGTGAGAGCGCTACAGCTGAAGTGAAGGCAACGTCCTAGGAAAGGACATCCCAAAGTCAAAGCCACTGGTGCTCCTGCTATGGGAGCTTAACGTTGGGCCAACTCTCCCGTCTTGTCAAAAATTTCTGGTTACGAAATCTATGATCAAAGAAAAGCTGGACAGACGTAATCTCAACTGACTCTATTAATCTAAATACAGGACAACCTATGTATTTCTGCTTGGTTTACAGTACTCTCCTCCTTAGGTCTTACATCGTGCCCTCCAATTATTTTCACACTTTTAAATTGGCAAATCTTCAAAGCTCTATAGTTTAGTGATCATTTTCCAATAATCATCAGCTTCCTTAATGATAACACATGAATGACAAAAAAACATCCTTGATGGATCATAAAAAAATCCAGCTGGGTAGCATTTCAAAACAAAATTAACTTAACTGAATTAGATTCATCACCAGATTATAGTAGTAACGAGACAAACCATTTAATCACTTCCACCATCCTAGCAACAATGGATGATTCTATTTCAAAAAGTTTCAGTAAGATTAATGTAAAGAAAATTGTTCTCTGGTTCATCAATGAATTTAATACAGCTATTAAGAACAGCCCTTAAAATATTTTTAAAAAAACCTACCATAAGAAATCTAATAGAATATAAGAAGTGCCATTCAATAACTTGCAGAATAATTTAAAAAGAAAAAGTCAACAATTTCTGAACACTATTTCAACTAATACATCTCCTAGGTTATTTTGTTAGGAGATTTTCATAGTATTTCAGAGAAGTTTAAAGGAAATTAGCCGCCACTTTAATAGACAACCATGTCAGATGAAACCAGGAATTGTTAGCCAATCACTTTGAGGAATTTGATTCTAACATATTTTCCACCTACACACTGTTAACAATAGATGAAACCGCCCTAAATATAGGTGCAAAACAAATAGAAAATGCATGCAACCTTCCTTTCACAAAAGCAGTACTATTAAACAGTATAACAAAGCTGAAAGCTTCTGCACCAGAAATAGATGATACTAACAATGGAATGTTGAAAAATTTACAAAAGGAAATTTTTTATGTACTTGTTATCCTTTGTAACTATATCTGGTGTACAGAAGATTTTCCAAACATTTGGAGATGATCAGTTATAATCTCAATCCTGAAACCTAGAAAAAATAAGTTTTCTTCCAGTTACTGGCACATCTCATTGACAAGCTGCATATGTCATTTTTTTGGAAAAGGTGGTATTTAAACTGCTTGCATGGATATTAGAGGAAAACCAGCTAATATGCGAAGAACTAAGTGGATTTAATACAGCCAAGGTTTATAGCAGACCTTAAATCATCTGGTAACAATAATAGGCATCTTTGAGATTCAAAAAGCATATAATAATTTGTATCATTTTATGATATCATTCTTTTTTCAAAATTCTCACACATAATTTACTTAAAGGAAAGTTTATTTTTATGTTAACATTTGTGTTTTGATATTTATTTATTAAAACATTGTTATAATTCATCTTTCATCTGATATTTAACAAAAAGTTTATCACTGTACACTTGATTTCTCTGTTTTTCGTGTTACCATGAGTTAGTTTTTGTTTTACTTAATATTTAGGAGCAAAAATAAATTAATCTATTCAATTGTGATTTTAAAATACTGGAAACATTAAATTAACTGGTATTAATTGTAATAATTTTTATTTGTAATTAATATAAAAAATTATTATATTTTTAGGTATTTGAGAGAGTTCTTGGTAAAGGCTTTGATCCTGTTGATTATGGACTTTGTTCATTGTATGATCTTATAAATCAAGTTCCTGAATCAATAGTTCTTGTTACCAAAGACCAGGAACTCACTATACTTTCAATTCCAAAGAGAGAGCAAACTCAAGAAGAAATAGAACGAACGAAACAGTTTGCAAAAGAGGTATATTATTGACTTATCAGATTATGAGGTATTTATGGATGTTTTTACCTTTCCAATTAGAATTTCAAATTTTTCCTTTTAGGTTAACTGAATGAATTAGAACAGTAAAATAAAGTAATATATACTTATATGAAGGGTACAGGGGAAAAACCCCCGTCAGTCAAAATAAGTTAATTTTGAGAAAAACGGGTTTGAATGTTTTCCATAACACTAATATCCAATTAAATCAGTAACTTATCTTTTTACAATTAAAATGTTTACAAATAACATTTTTACAAACAAAAATATTACAAATAAATTTTTTACAAAAATAAAATAAAATTCATGTTGACATAAAAAGCAGATTATATTAATCTTGATAAAAAATATAGTATTTTATTTTTTATTCTTTAATTAATATCATTTGCTTTTTATGTCAATATGGATAATTGTCTTAGCACACTATAATTCCTCGTCAGTCGGGGAGAGGGGAGAGGGAGGGTCATTAAGATATTTCTCGTTACTTTCTATAACAATGTTGTCTGCTGTTAAATTTTGGTAGAAAATCTTTTCCTCTGGATTTTCCAAGAACTGAGATAAATAAATAAAAGAACGGAGATTTTGCAGCTGTTACTTTATGTTTTCCATTATACAAATTCTGCAGTGGTTTAACAGGAGTTGCTGAGATTTTCTTCTTTGAGTTTTTACTCTCAGGTTTTTTTTTTTTTGAACGGCTGAAGATGTATGCATCCCACAAAACCATTGTTTACAAAATACAAGTTCCCTACCAGTTGCTGAAATTTTCAGCCTTATAATTGGTCTGGTAAGAAATGGGCATTTTTTGGGGAAAAGGGACAAGAGGTGATAAGTCCAGTTTTGAAAAACCACCTCCACTCCACAATCAATCTCAGTAAATGGGATGGGTTTCACTCGAGTATTCCTCAAGACCTCTCTGAAGTCTTCTGGAACCTCTGTGTATGAGTTTTGTTTCACTATGCTTATATTACAAAGTAAGAGTGGCCCCTTATCGGAAATATGACCTTAATGGTTTTTAAAATGTTCTTCTTTTGTAACCAGATGGTGTACAAACCTGATAAAGGTATAATTCTTATTTCGAGTCACAAAATATAAACAGTTCATGAACTTCTGTTATTGATTCTAAATCAATATGGCTAACCCTTCGTAAACTCTCTCTTTGTAAATCCTCTTCCTCACCGTTCTACCCGGTATCACCCGATGAACTAAATTCCTACTTTATATTTTCCACCACCAGCAACAGTTCACCCACCTCTCACCAGTTTTCCTTATCACCCTCATTTAACAGTGATAATTTCTATTTCTCCAACATTTCACCGACCGACCTTATTTCCTCTATAATGAAATCACACACAAACTCCATCGGACTTGATGGGATACCAGTCAAACTGTTAAAATTATGCCTTCCCGAAGTCATTCCAGTTCTCCTTTTCATCTATAATTTTTCCCTCCAGAACTCAGTTTTTCCAACTGCTTGGAAAAAAGCATTAGTCAGACCTATCAACAAAATTCCCAATCCTACCTCTCCTAAAGACTACCGCCCAATCTCCATTCTTTCTAACCTTTCTAAACCTCTGGAAAGAATAGCTCAATCCCAAATCTCTAAATTCCTTGAAAACTCAAAACTACTCGATCCTCTCCAATCAGGTTTCCGACCTGGTTTCTCCACACAATCCGCCCTACTAAAAATTACCAATGACTTACATACCGCAATGGACGAAAAAATGTTAACTGTGTTAATACTTCTCGACTTTTCCAAAGCTTTTGACTCCTTAGACCACTCTATACTCTATACTAAATTAAAATCTCTATCCTTCTCCAACAGCTCTATCCTCTGGTTGCAGTCTTTCCTATCCGACAGAACTCAAGCAGTCAGCATTCCAAACCAATCCCTATCTTCCTTTCTTACACTGTCCTCTGGAGTGGCCCAGGGTTCTAGCATTTCCCCTCTTCTTTTCAATTCCTACATAAATGATCTTTCCACATCCATCTACCACTGTTCACATCATTTATACGCTGATGACACCCAAATATATTATTCCTTTCATCCTTCTGAGCTACTAGTCGCGTTAGCCAATATTCAGGCAGACCTAGATAGGATCAGTGCCTGGGCAAGTCTGAATAATTTAAATCTAAATGCGATGAAAACTCAGGCCATTATTATAGGTTCCAGTCCTGTTCTTAAATCCATCTCCCTCCTTCCTCCTTTAGTCATCAACGATCATCCTGTCATATTCAGTGCATCCGTTAAAAACCTAGGAATCACCATAGACGAAAACCTCTCCTGGAAACCCCATATCGCCCTCATCTCCCGTAAGTCAATAGGTACCCTTAAGCTATTTCATCGCTCCCGCCACCTACTCCCACCACCTACTCCCACAACCCATCCGCAAGCTCCTTGTATCCTCTCTCATTTTCCCCCACTTTGACTACGGCTGTGTGGTGTACGGAGGCATCCCGATGGTACTCGAGGATAGATTGAAGCGACTCATGAATACGTGCTTAAGATTTGTCTTCGGTACATCAAGGCGATCTCATGTTTCCCACCTTTACGACGAGTTAAAGTGGCTCTTCCCTTCTTTCCACAGACAATATTTCTTCGGATCTTTCCTATTCCAAACAATCAACACCAGACACCCTTATTACATCTACAGTCTCCTACAGTTTAAACCCTTGTTTCCGACCTTTATATCCTTTCCCATAGAACTAAGACGTTTGAATATTCCTTTATTTCCCGATCCACAGCCTTCTGGAATTCCTTGCCATCTGAAATCCGCCATGCCTCCTCCTTGTCCTCATTTGAATATCATCTCTACCAATTCCTTCTCACATCCCAAAATGACGTTATACAATAAAATAAATTTTGTGAAACAGATTTTGACTGAGGTGAATGGTTGGTAAAATTTATTCAGTCTTAATTTTAAAAATCAACCCATGCTTATTTTTTTTTATTTTTTTTTTTTTCATTTAAATAATGTTTTTTTTTTAATTCGTTTTTTCTCAAAATTTTATTTTATTTTTAATTGTTTTAATTTAACTTCACTGAAGATACTGTATATATTCTTGAATATTGATTAATGTAATTTTTGGCCAGATGTAGTTTTTATTTTTTTGTTCATATCTGTTATTCATAAGGGACTTTGTTCCAGAATAAAGTTTACTTTCTATCTATCTATCTATATGGTAACAATTGTAGTGTAATATATTATATATGCAATTGAGAATATACTCCTACAGATCTACAGGAGAGATTGGAAGAAAAGGAAAAAGGATATAATATGAAATAATAGACCTAAAGGAATATTTTAGGAAGGAATAGTTTTTCAGCCAAAATTGGCCTGCTTTTATTTTTCATTTATTAAACACCTTTTTTTTTTTTAACATTTTAATAAATGGAAAATAAAGTATACATTTTTGCCTACTAATAACTCTAAATTGTGAAGAAAATAAGTGGAAAAATATGCTATTGATGGTGTTTTATAAAACTGTTACAGGTTGTTGAATTATTAGGGCATGCACCTCAATGTTCAATTCAGTTTCATCAATTCATTCCAGCTTACCATCACCATTATGGCCATCAGTGCCGGGTGGCTGATTTTGGCTTTTCAAAACTTATTGAATTGTTCGAAGCTATTCCACACATTGTTAAGGTAAAGTTAGGTATTAATAAAATTTAAAAAAAAAAATATGAAATCCCTTTTAATTTATTTTTACCATCAAATGAGGTTAATTTGCTACATTTGATTCCTAAAATAAAATATTGTATAATGCCATTATACAAACTGTCACACAAAGATCTTTGTCTTGATTTAAGGCTTCAGATTTTGAGTTTTTAGCAATATATATATATATATATATATATATATATATATATATATATAGATAATCCTCTGTGTAACACAATTGTATACAATCTAGAAAAAAAAAATTGGATGAAATAAGTGACACTTATTTTCCTCCATAACTCTATTAAATATGATTTGTTTTTAAATAGTGTAAAACAAAAATATAGTTTTTTTATAGATTATCTAAACAAATTCTACTTTAAAACATTCATTTTTGTATTATATATTTCATATATAGTAAGATAAAGTATTGCAATCATGAAAAATTTTGAATCTTTAATTTTTAATTGAAATATAAATTTTAAGGTACTTTGATTCCAAATAAACAAAGTCTCACAAAAATATTTTTGTTTATTTATATATAACAATCAAAAAGTGGAATTATGTATTTAAGATAGCATGGGTGATAAATATTCAGGACGCAGTCATTATAAACATTTTTTATTTGTGCCAACGTTTCAACCCAAACATGTGGGTCATTATCAGGGCTGAAAATTTTAAAATACAACCAGAGATATAATATTATACGACCGGTAATGGTAAATAATAAACTATAGTGATTGATGATGCATGAATCTTAACTATTATTACAATACACAATATTAAAAATGAAAGATGTAAAAAGTTATACAAACTAAAAATAATGTGTATAATCTATTTATAAAAATTTGTTATATTTTCTCTTACTAACCGTGGTTCGAGCACTGAAGGCATTTAAGTACTGACGCATTTGGAAGGTAAGTGAAAAGGTCAGGGGAGAGGATTTCCCAGTTGTCCTTTTTCAGATAGCATAAGGTAGGTAAACATAGTCAGAGGGGGATAGGGAGGTAACATTTCTGTTTGTAGAATGTAAATAATTTGCTGACTATATATTTAAGATGTGTACAAGATTTGCATTGTTTTTTATAGTTACAGAATTGTGAATATTGGCTAGTAATGAAATGAACATAAGCAAGAGGTGCCAATCAATATAAATATAACATAGTTTGATTAAAGGTATACAATGGTTTGCCAAATAATATTTATAATAAAGACAATTGTAATGGATTGAAAAGATACGTAGGACAATATATTATACAGTATTTTAAAAATAACAATATTAATCATAATAGAAGTGTGTATTATATTAAGAATTACATAGTTTTAATTGTATAAGTGTAAACATATCTGTGTCTGTTTATAGTATATATTTATATTGAGAATTGGCATTACATGGGGCCATTGGCGAGAAAATGGGGAAAATGAAAAACAAAATTTTAATGATTATAGACTATTGTTTTAGGAGGCAGAAATATTCGAATATGTGTTGCAGATCTTTTCTTTGTCTACTTTGTGGTTTACCTGGTTATTTTTTTCCAAATTGATGAATATAGCTTCAGAAAGTAGTTGTTTTTTGGTGATTGGGAACTGTGGCAGGTATGGTTGGGTTTTCAAAATTAAATGTGTGGTTGAGGGTTATGGCGTGTTCGGTTAGTTTACGAGGCGAGCGGGTTTCGTGTGGAGACGCTGTATTTTTGTTGATATATTTGTTTTTTTAAATAGTTTTTGGTATCTCCTATATAAGAAGAATTACAGTTTGGGCTAGAGCATGTGATATGGTATACAGTATTTGATTGTTGTAGGAGCGGAACAGGATCTTTGAGTTTGCTGTACAGGTTTCTTAATTTACTGTTATTTTTGAAAACTATTTGTAGATAGGGAATTCTGAAGTTAAAGCTTTTTTGAGATAGGACTGGGGTGTATGGAATGGCTCTGTATTGGCGAATCGTGGTGGGAGATTGAGAGCAGTTTGTGGGAGACTGGTGAAAATGAGGTTGGGTTGATTTTTAATTAGGTTTTTTACAATTTGATCAGGAAAGGCGTTGGATTTCAGGATCTTGTGAAGTTTGGTTAGGTTACTGCCATGGAATTGTGGGTCTGTTAATGTTAGACAACGGTATATCAGGTTTTTAGCTACACTGATTTTTTGGTGGTAAGGGTGTTGGTAAAATAATTTAAGAGACGGCCGGAGTTGGTATGTTTGGTGTACCAATCGGTGGATAAGGTATTATCATTATTTCTGGAAATGAGGTCAAGAAATGGGAGGGAATTATTTGATTCTATTTCAATGGTAAAACAGAGTTGAGGGTGGTATGAGTTGAATGCAGAATTTAAGATAGGTATAAGTCTGGTGTGTTACAGCAACTTTTTTGTTGAAATCGACTCCAGAAGTGCAACTTTACATCATTGGTTTTATACATTTGTCTGTGCTAAAGTGAAAATTTTGTGATCTTCCCACCACACCAGATTCATTATAAATAGTACTGTCGCTGTTTGATACAGTTATCGCCATCATCCTATTTTGAATTGTAATTAATTTTAAATAAACTTTAAGAATATTACTATTAACTATGAATATAAACTTACAGCAATTAATATCAAATACAACTATCCTGTGCACTATTTATTTTTGGTATGGCAAACTGAAAATAAATTTTTCAAATTTATCAGTCATTAGTTTTATGTCATTTTCAATTATTGTTCAATCTTGAACCTCAAGTAGCCGTGAGGAGGAGCTGTTCCTCCCCTCTTCTTTTTCTTCTTATGTATCTCTTATATGTCTTCTACATGTACTATTGCTTTTGAAACATTTGTTTAGTAATTTTTATATTCCAATAGATTTTTTTTCTTCTGTTTGGTACCGTAGAGAGTATTTTGTTTTATATTTTCATTAACTCATCTGGTCAGGTAGAGTATATTTATCTGTTCATCAAAAGATTAGTTTTTCATCTGAAAATACTTTCCCATATCTCCTGTTCTATAGTTCTTTCTCATCCACCTTTCTTTATTTTCAACCAGAAGAAACAATAGGATTGAAGATAGCTAAAGCTGAATCTTATTTCTTTGATAATAATAGTTACCTACATTTTCATGTTTGGTTGTTATTTCTGTTAAGGAAATAACATTTTGGTACCAAAATTCAGGAAGATCCATTAAAAATTTATTTTCTAGGTTGATTTAAAAAAAAAAAATGATCCTAATTACTATTACAGTGTATTTAATTATTAAATGACTTTGAATATGGAAATTTGGTGGAGGACTCAATTAAGGTAACAATAAGTTTCTATAATGTGTAAAGTTTACGTACATGATAGACATTAAAAAAAGAATAATAATTGATGTAAAGTGTAAATGTTTGAAAAAGATCAGTAAATTAACTAATTATGTAAAATATAATTAATCTTTTAAGTGTAAATGTAATTAAATTGCAATATAATAATAACGAAAATTTTCCAGACTTGAAAATAGGCCTAATGTTGGCCAAAACGTTGTCAAGATGAAATGAAAAGTAAATGATCCTAATTACTATTGCAGTGTATTTAATTATTTAACTTAAATTAATTAATCGAACTAACTGTTGAGAATTATCATGTTGCCTATCAAGTATTGCAAAACCAGTATCATAACAACCTGTCACTTAGCCCAAATGTTGATCAGATACCCTATACTTCCTTAGACAAATTTGCTGTAATTAAATTATACTAAAGTTGATCATTTAATTTTATAAATTAAAAAGAGCTTTGAGATAAAAACCACCTCTAAATACTTCGCCTTTTTGGCATTGTTTAAAATTAAAATCAAATATGCCCTACTAATTAAATGGGCTCAACCAATAATTTCACATTCTTCGCCAATTTATGATGGCATGGCCATATGGTCCAATATGATTGGACAATAGACAGAGTTCTTAGCATTATTCGCTGCTCTGGTACATTAAAATAAATCATTACAAGACGTGTCTATCAAACATTGCGAAACTAATATCAAAAAAATCTGGTGTCGTGCACACATCATACAACTTTCGCTCACCATCATTCTTTTAACAGAAATAGGTGATTTCAGGCAAAGATAAGTGATAGTAAAAATTTCAGACAGTACAACATATTATTTAAAATAATTAATTACCATATGTTTTACGAACATCGTCTAGTCATCTGACTGCAATTAGCCACTGGCCCTCCAGGTTGGGAGTACCCAGAGAACTCAGTACCAGGGGGTATAGCCCGGCCACCATTCCTCCTGAGGGGAGATAAATATTCAGGAGGCCAATTGTCCCGAAGATACAGAGCCCTTCCTACTGGGTTTATCATCCGAAGTAGAGCTCAACTGATTCAGAGTATATCAAATAGCCTCGGATTCGGACAGTCAGAACAGTCATGCACTAAAAATGGAAATGGTCAAAGGCTCATTCATTTCTGTAACGATTATGACCTGCTCATTAGAAACTCTTTCTTCCCACTTAAGATAATGCACAAAATAACTTTTTGAACTGAAGAAACAAGCGTTAATAACAAGTTAGATTACATTGTGTACAGTAGAAGTGTAAGAAGATACTTTGCCGATGTAAAATACATGGGCTGCATTGAAGAATGCAATACTTGAGACTGCTGAAAGTGTATGAAACGTAGGTAGTCTAGACCAAAAGTTGAAAGGTCTGAGTGGTGGAGTGATCTGGTGAAAGCTGCGGTAGTTAGGAAGAAGACAGCCTGGAAGGAGTATTGTCAGCTGAAGAATGCAGCCAACTGGGAGCTCTATGTCAGAAGAAAAAAAAGAAGCAAAAATGGTCATCCGTGTAGCGAAGAAGAAGAGTTGGGAGAAATATGGAGCACTACTGTGCTCATAGCTCAAATAGTCATAAGGCATGCAAGCCTTTGGAGTTTTCCAAGTAGCACTCTTGGCTTGCTTGTTGCTTGTTGCAGCCCTATGCCACCACACCACAGTCAGATAGAGGATTAAGGGTCTAATCGCAGTCCTATATAGTCATATAGCCACACTGAGTTTCAACCCGCACGATTTGCTAAAAGCTCTTTTACACATCCATGAACAGCGTAGAGCCTTACTACTAATCTTTTCAATATCACTCAGCCGATTCAACATAATATCCAGAGTAATCCCAAGATGTTTTACTTCACTGCAGATATTTAATGATGACCCTTTCAATGACGTTGGTCTAATATTGACATTCCTTCTGTTAGTGAAGATACAAAGATTTATCTTCTGCGGATTTATGCCAAGCCCATTGTTCTGGCACCATTCTTTCAGAAGTTTCATCGTATATACCAGCAATCTCGAGATTGTATCCAGAAATTGGTACCCTATCAATACAGCGATATCGTCAGCGTATCCCTGAGAATAAAACCCCACCTCGTTCAGTTTAGTAATCAGGGAATAGACGACCAAGCAGCATAAAAGTGGAGAAAACATGCCCCCTGTGGACAACCTCCAACAGATTTAATCCACAGTACGGTTTGTCCTAATTCAGAGTTACGGATTCTCCTCCTCAAACTGAGTTAATCCATTCCAAAGTGAAGAGCCCAACACCTCTCCTAGCCAATGCTGTTACCATTGTGTCATAGGGGGTGCGATCAAAGACACCTTCAATGTCAACAAAGATGCCCACCACAATCTCTTTCTGTGTTAAACTTTTCTCAATTCTAGAGACCAAATAATGCAATATCTCACAAGATTAGGCAAATTGAGCACAGTGTAGCAGTGTTTCTACTAACATAGAATCCCTGTATCTATCCATAATCTTTTCCAGTACTTTTAACAGGAAAGAAGTCAGTCACTTTCCCCCAGCTTAAGTATAACAAACTCTTGCCTTTCCACCTATTAGGGATATAGGCAAGAGCTAAACTTTCTTTAAATAACTCCAGTAGATATGGTTTAATTACAGGTATGCCTTTTTGCAAAAGAGTCGGGAAAATCTCATTAATACCAGCTGAGCTGATATGAATGGTGCAAATGAACTAATTGCCCATTCGACTCTCCTTGAACTTACTATTCTATTCACCTCAAACCACTTATCTTTGCCACAAGTGTGACTGTCCATAGCGGGATTAGCTATATACTTATCCTGCATTAGGCAGCCAGGAAAGTGTAAACACGCCAGAGCCTCCATATTCTCCTCCCCAGAATAGGTGAGCCCTCCTTCAATCCTGATTGTGCCCATAACCGACAAGATTTTATATACTTTGGACGTGGACAAAGTATCATTTTTATCACTACAGAAGCTTCTCCGCTCCCTCTTTTTTGCCTGTGTATGGTCTTATTGTACCAATTCGAATAAATTTTGCCCAATTGTGGACTCAGGGAAAATATAAAATTTAATTTCCATTCCATATAATAAGTGGACAAATTTTCATGATCCCTTTCCAATATGCATCTTTACCTTCCTCTGGAGAGAATCTTTGCACACTAAGCAATCCTGCTGACCATCAAGTTAAGGGGCATTCCTATGTAACACTTTTTCACCACAGGGAGATCAGTCAAGTAAAAAATATAGAAAACAACCAAACAAAATTCATACTTGCATACCCAAACTACTCTAGCTCTGAAGATGGCCTATATAGTTTGATTGAAAAATCAGCTGTCTCAAAATCATTAGCTGTTTTTGAAATTTTTTTAAAAAAGTATAAAATTTATTATGAATAGTTTCACTTTTAGTAAGTTAATTTTAATGGGAAAGATGTGACATCACGTAAATTCATAATATCAGTCTAGTACAAATTTTTTTGTTTTTGAAATAGATTGATGTCATAAACAGATGCAAATCATTTTGGGAAACTTGGCTATTTAGACTCAAGGGACCTTAAAAGACAGACTAAAAAGATAAAGATTTTCAATAACAAAATAAAAATAGATATTTCTTTTCCTCCATCTTCTTTTTTATTTATGTTAATATTATTTTGTTATTTTTTATTTTTCACAGCTGGGGTCTCTAAACTTTTTGGCCTGCAGGTCATAGTTTGTGTTGAAAAAAAAAAAAAAAAGCTTGTTCTATAAATGACACTTCAGTTGTGAAATTAGCATTTTAAGAGAAAAAACTCAAGAAATAGTAACTGAGTTTGGCTGATTCCCTAAATTTCATAATTTTAAAATAGTTCTTGAAATTTTACCATGTAATCAAAGAAACTTTTGCTGGCCGGATAGGAGATGCTTGTGTGCCATAGTTTGGAGATTCCTTTTTTTTTTTTCTAAAATAAATATCTAGATAAATGAAACTATTAGTCATTCATTCAAATTCGACATCTGATGATGATTTCCATAGTAATGATAGTAAATGATCTCCATAATCTCAAGAATTATATTTTCAGAAACACATAGTTTAACTTATTCTATCTAATATTAATACTTTTCTTTTTTTTTAGTTAGAAGATGATAGTGAAGGGGAGAGGTTAGTAACACTTACACAAAAGCAGAAGCTTCTTGTTGTAGGTGAGCAAATGTGTGACTTGGTAACTCCCACTTATCCACCCGGTCTTCCACTGGAGAGTCTTTCTTCAAACTTTTTGTGGCAATATGGTTATGCTTTAAAACCAGAAACTTATGGAGTTGAAAATTTGGAATCATTAATTTCATCTGTTGATACAGTCAAAGTAATGTTTTCTATGCAACATCTTTATTTATTAAAGTTGAGGTTTACAGGATGTTCTGTAAGTAATGGAAAATATTTAAAATAGAACTCAAGAACCACAAAAAAGTTAGTATAGTCAAGGGTCCAATTCCATACAGGAACTATTTTAAGGTTGGTGTTTTTTTGTTTTTTTAAGGAAGTCGTGTTTTTTGAAAATAAGAAAGAATATTGGAATATATAAAAATTGGAAATATATGTATTTTTATATTTACACTAACTTGCATAAACATTCCTTTTTTACATGTCCGCAGAAGATTGAAGGTATATAGAAACACTTTATTTTCATAAAAGAGTGCTGCCCAATTATATTATATGCTAAATACACAGCATGCTTATGCTTGTTAATCACAATCTTTAAAACTTATATAACAATATACAGTAACGTAATAGTAACCTTAGCATTCACAAAAACAGAAAACATGACAATAATTTACAAGGACCTTATCAACCTTATTAATAATGTGTTTGTTAAAATTATTTTTCTAATTGCTAAACTAGGTTAATTTGTTATTCATCAAATCATGGATTTTTCAAATATTTTTTTTTTCATCAGCCTCCCATTGAACTATTGTTATACCACACTTTCAGAAAAACTTCCTTGTTTTTTAATCTTCAACTTCATAGTAATTAAGTTGAGATTCGTTATAGAATAGGCTGAGATTGACTTTCATTTTTTAAATAATATTATGTTGTGAAATAGTGTAGAGTACGTCTGAGATACTGAGATAAGTTTGCCAGTGGGTAGACAGGAAAGAGATGCGCAGTCGAAAAACATTTTCCTGTCCCTATCCCCCACTCTTCTAAATCCTCACTCCTTTTTACTCACTCATTAGTACATACTTCTATAATTTTTTTTTACAAGTAGAAATTTTTGTTTTCACTTCTTTAACCAATTTTCGTTTACTGTGTTGATTAAACTGGGTAAAGAGAAAACTATCCATTCTTAGACCAAAAATGTAATTATAAACATATATAAATTCATAATAGGAGTGGGAGAAGGCAGTGCGAGCTCCCTTTCCCTATAGGCAAAGTTATCTTAGATCCAATATACCAGTATTTTCTATAAAAAATGACCACAATTATTTTATTTACTTTTTCTCTGACCAATATGTATTGTAATAAATCAATTACAAAAAAAAAATTGCGAAATAATGCTAATTTTACAAGAAGTAAGTATTTAAAAATCATCACTTGAAGTGATAGTGCACACCTACATCTCAATTATCGCAATTGATTCTTTTGATATCAATGATCAACTAAATCTTAATCCCAATTCTAATATTTTTGTTTTCATGAAAATAAATCAAGCAATTAGCGTTTTTTATACATATTTAATTGCAAATAAATATGATAAATTTAAATTGAAATCCTATCAGAGGGAGAGTTCACTCTTCACAACCAGACAATCAAAATTGAAATATGAAATTTATTCAAAAACATTTACATCAAGTGTAAACAAAAGATGTAAGTGAAGTGAATGAAAAATTAAAGAAAATGTGATTAAAGGTGTTTCCTCCAATTTGACGGACAATGACCTAGAATATCCATCAATCCACCTTCTTCATAGCATCAATTAATACTATAATTATTATTATTAAATGGCACTACATCCCAATTATTTGAGACTTGGCCTGCTCCAGCATGGATCTCCAGTTCTCCCGGTTAGTTGCTGCAGCCTTCCAATTTCTCACACCAAGTAGTTTACATGCATCAGCAGCCACACAGTCTTGCCAGCGCAAACATGGTCTTCCCACTCTTCTGTTTCCAAACACAGGCTCATTCATAGCTGTCTGTGAGGGTGCATTCATATCCATCCGCGCAACATGTCCTGCCCAGCGTAGTCTATCCAGTACGATGAATTGGCTCACATCCAGGTCATTAAACAATGTCTTTATTTCCAAATTTGTTCTCCTCCTCCAATTCTGTGGTGTTTCCTGGACCCCTCCAAATATGCGTCGTATAATCCTCCTTTCAAATCTGAGCAGGGATTTCTCAACTGCTTTAGTTAAGGTCCAGCTCTCACAGCCATATGTGAGCACTGGTTTAATAAGAGTTTTATATATTCTTATTTTGGCCTGTCTTGACAACATTGTACTGCGAAGATGTCTCTGGAGGGAGAAATAGCACCGATTAGCCACTGCGATCCTCCTGTCTATCCCACAATCAATGTTGTTTCGTGCATTTATCAATGAACCAAGATATACAAATTCATCAACATTCTCGATTCCACGCTGTTCCAGCCCTGCTTGGTTTTCCCTTGTTAGATGTGAGGATAAGGTGGACATATATTTTGTTTTGGACGCGTTAATAATAAGACTGATTTTGGCTGCCGACTCTTCCAGACTTGTAAAAGCTTCCTGTACTGCTGCAAACGATCTTCCCATTATATCAATGTCGTCCCCTTATTCAAGTATTTGGGTAATTCGATTTAGGAGGGTTCCTGTAGTCTGGATACCAGAATCCTTTATTACTTTTTCAAGGGTAAAGTTGAATACCAGACATGCCAGAGCGGCTTCCTGCCTTACACCTGTCGATGTTCTAAACCCCTTTGATAAGTCACCTTGTACTCGTAGGAAACACTCATTACCCTCCATTGTCATTCTAACAAGCCTTACAAGTTTTTTAGGTACATTCATTTCTACCATTGCTTTGTATGCTTCCTCACGATTTATGGAATCATATGCTTGCTTGAAATCAATGAAGATGTGATGTGTACCAATTTGATATTCTTTGGTTTTCTCCAGAAGGATTTGCAAGGTGAATATTTGGTCGATGGTTGATTTACCCTTAATGAATCTGGCCTGTTATTTTCCTATTTCAGCCTCGGCATAGGAAATTATTCTTCTATAAAGGATCCTTGAAAAAATTTTATATTCGGTGGGTAGAAGGCATATGCCCCTGTAATTATTACATTGATAGACGTCCCCTTTTTTGTACACTGGGCATATAATGGATTTTTTCCAATCACTTGGAAGCTCTTCATCAACCCAAACGGCAAGAAACATTTCCTGGAGGAGTTTTATGAGCTCTTGACTACCATGTTTATAGAACTCTGCAGGGATGTTATCAATGCCTGGGGCTCTATTGCTTTTTAGTCCTTCTATGGCTTCATTGATTTCTTCCTCGTCTGGGGGTTCTACGTCTTCACCACCTGTAATTGGATCATTTGCCTCTGAGACATTTGTGCCATTTCTGTTGAGAAGAGTTGAAAAGTATTAAGCCCATCTGTCTGAAATGCCTTGTTTATCAGTTACCAAAGAACCATCGTTTGCTCTGCATCCTGTGGTACGGGCGATAAAGGGCTTTCTTCCTTTGTTAACAACCTGGAAGAATTCTCTAGTATTTTTGGAGATGAAGGCCTCTTCTATCTCCTGTAGACTCTTATTCTCCCATCGTCTTTTCTTCCTCTTATGGACATGCCTCTCGCACCTTCTCGTTGCTCTGTATTCCTCGACAGAGCTTCGTGTGTGCTTCCTTTGCATCATTTTATAGTATGCAATGTTTTTTCTCTTGGTCACTGCACCACATTCGTCATCGAACCACGGGTTATATATCTGTTTGGTCTTATACCCTACAACCTCGTTCACTACTTCCATAAATGCAGTGCGGCATGAGTTCCATTGTGACTTGAGGTTTGATTCTGGGACAGAGTTCCTTAATCTGATGTCCAGTTGGTATGTGTGTTTTGCGCAGTGTACTGGACTCGGGAGGCCGGAGGAGCGTCAGTCCCCACTAACTGTGCGCTACAGCTAGCCCCTGCGGCAATAATATAATAATAATAATACTTTATTTCTTCTGGTAAGAGTCCCTTTAGAATAATACAGAAATGTGGGCTAAGGAGTCTGAGAGATACATAAAAAATAATCATAAAGTAAATAAATAGTCATAATAAAAAAATTATAAGTTACTTTCTAATTTTAATTGGTCAATAATAAAAATGAAAAAACAAAGTAAAAATAAGTAAGAACGATCTAATAAATTTGAACAGGCGGGATTCGAAAGAAGGGATAGAATTCCATAGGGATGAGGATCGGATAATGAACGATCTTTCAAAGCAGTTGTTCATTACAGCCTTGTGTATAAATCTGAAGACCGGGAACGAGTATTGCGGGAATGAACAGATGATTTGAATTGAAGGAGTTCGGAGATGTATGAAAGTCGGCAGGATTGGATAACTTGGAAGAGTAAGAAGGTCAGAAATTATTTACAACAGTAGGCAGGATAAAGCCACTAAAATCTTCATAAAAACCGGGGAAAAAGGTGTCTCTTGGGGAGATCTTGAAGATGAATCATACAAAGCAATTTATCAAACATTTTAGATTCTCCTAGAGACACCCCTATTTACCGTACAGCAACAGTCAAATTGGAGAAATATTAAGGAAGTGACAAGGAGCCTACAGATCTCAAATAGAAATAGGTGACTGATAATTTAGATGTTTTAAGGTGGAAAAGGTACGGCGGGAGATATTGGGTAATTGGTTTTTGCACGAAAGCGTTGGATCAAAGGTTATTTTAAGATTTCTGATAGTGGGATAAAATTTAATACATTTGATAGGATCATCATGTAGGAACAGGGTTGGAAGATTAGGAACAGTTTTAAGGAGGTGATTGAAGCCTATTAAGATTGCCTTCGTCTTATCTGCGTTCAACTTCATATTGTTAGCTCTCCCCCAGTCACAAATCCTATCCAAGTTCTCGAAGTTTTTCTATATCTGGTAATAGGTCAGAAGGCAGAAAGAACAGGTATATTTAGAAATTGTCTGCATAGATGTGGTATTGGGAGTGATAGATCAGAAGGGAAAGGTCATTAATGGAAATAGCAAACAGAATAGGAGTTAAAGAGAAATCTAAAGAGACACCTCAGGAGAGGAGAAGGGTCTTAGATGGAGGTTGACTTGGGATGACTACATACTGGGACCGATTTGAGAGGAAGGATTTGAACCTACGCAGGTAAGGAGATAG